ATGATTCACAGAAACAAATCATCTTAGAAGCTTTACAATAGACTAGAGCATTATTAAAGATTTGAAAACCAATGGCAGTAAAGAAAATCAATAGTATATTCATGCTTTCATATTAACAATATTAAGACCTGCATAACAAAACACAATTTCAGGAATTATACTGATCACAATGGGACTCATTTTTAAATATACAGCAGACTCCATTAAAAACTAAAAGTTTTTTGTTCATGATGTCAGTTCTTAAAAAATCAGACAATTTTTCTTACATACAATTACATACAATTATTTTGGTTAGATTTTTATGTGAAGTTCCCATTGTAAATGTTGTCTGTTCATAACAGTCTCCATGGTGCTGGTGCTCCCTGGTGGTGCAGTGGTCAGAATACAGTATTGCAGACTAATTCTACCCGTAGCAGGAGTTTGATACTGACCAGCTCAAGGTTGACTCAGTTTTTCATCCTTCTGAGGTCGGTAAAATGAGGACCAAGTTTACTGGGAGCAATATCAGTGGTGGGTTGCTACCGGTTCACCCTGGTTTGGGCAAACCAGTAGCAGCGGCGGTGGGAGGCTCTGCCCACCCACCCAGACATCATCAAATAGAATCTGTGCATGCGCAGAAGTTTCTGCTCATGCGCAGAAGTGGCGCGCGAGAGAGCGAACCAGTAGCAAAGGTAAGTGAAACCCACCCCGGGCAACATACTGTTATTTGCAAATTACTAAGAGTGTTATCACAGCCCATTATAGAATTTTTCATATTCTCTTTATTTTGAAGTGCAATATTAGTTTAAAACAAAAATGACTGTGTTAGAGAAAATTGCATATGAAAAGCCATCCCACAAATAAAATTGCATATATGAATAGAAGAATATAACTTTATTATGGTCATAGACCATAGAGCCGAGGTGGTGCAGTGTTTAGAGTGCACATATGAATAATGTTTTCCTACATAGTAAAGGAAATGGTATTCTAAAATACTATATATAGGAACTTGGCAGGGGGGGATTCTAATTTTTTTTACTACCGGTTCTGTGGGCGTGGCTTATTTTGTGGGTGTGGCTTGATGGTCATGTGACAATTATTTAGGATTTAGCAGAGGTACTGGTCTACCAGGCTTTTAACTGCTTGCAGAGCTGTACCGATCCACCCATTTATTTTTGCAGGCACTGATCTACTCATGTATTTTTGCAGGGCACTGGTCTACCCATTTATTTTTGCAGGCACTGATCTACTCATGTATTTTTGCAGGCACTGGTCTACCCATTTATTTTTGCAGGCACTGATCTACTCATGTATTTTTGTATTTTTGCAGGCACTGATCTACTCATGTATTTTTGCAGGCACCGGTCTACTCATTTGTTTTCTTTTAACACTGATCAGCTGTAGGGTGGCTCTTTGAAGCCCTGCGGCAAGAGTTTAAACAGTTTTTTTCCCTCTAGCCATCAGCTGGGACTCAGGAGGCAGCAATAGATTGGGGGTGGGGCCAAATAAAAGGTAAGAATAATGCAGGGGGTGGGGGCGGGGTGGGGAGGCGGGGGGGCGGGGGGCCAGAACCAGTTCGGTGATGTCATATCGTCACTGCTACCGGCTTGGCAGAACCAGGCGGAACTGGGAGGAACCCACCACTGGAACTTGGGTATTTTCAGAAGCTATACATTTCCAAAAGATTACAATAAACATTCCACCCCTTATGTAGTTACATTTACGTGTAATGCAAGTACAAAAGAGTTCAGGTTTGGTTTATGGGACCAATTAAGTTTCCTTAATTGACCTACTTGCCCCTTTGATAATGCCCATAGATAGGACTTTTTTATAGACACTTAATATTACTTACAAACAGAGGTGTCCTGCCTCAGGCTTCAATTATTGAATCACACACAGTTGCTATAATACCTCTCAGCTTACTCAAAGTCAAAATTTAATGGCTACAAAGCAAACGAGAGTCCCAGACACTTGCCTGAATAGTTTTCAAATAGGAGCAAACAGACATTTATGCTTTTTTTAAATGGATTTCAGTCTTATGAGCTTCCTTTCTTTTCATTTTACCAAAAAACCCCAGTTTAGCATTTCCAGTTTAAATCAAATTCATCAGTTTAGATTATTTTTCAGTACTTTTGTGGCTTATCCTTTTTTTTTATTTATAACAGCCTTGTGAACAGAAATTAATTATGTAACAATTAATAATATTAATAATAACCCCCTGTGAGGCACTACCTTGATGTGATTGTGGGGCTTGTGTGCTCTGAGAAAAATGAGAGCTAAGCTAGAGATTCAATTATACTGGTCTGTTCCCATCAGAGAAGTCAGACAAAGAATGCCACTCTCATAAACAATATGGTGAGATGTACATTACAGAGATACACATCAGCTTGGATAGAATAGAATAACAGAGTTGGAAGGGACCTTAGGGGTCTTCTAGTCCAACCCCCTGCTTAGACAGGAACCCTACATTACTTCATACAAATGGTTATCTAATCTCTTCTTAAAAACTTTCAGTGTTGGAGCATTTACAACTTCTGGAGGCAAGTTGTTCCACTGATGAATTGTTCTAACTGTCAGGAAATTTCTCCTTAGTTCTAAATTGCTTCTTTCCTTGATTAGTTTCCACCCATTGCTTCTTGCTCTACCCTCAGGTGCTTTGGAGAATAGTTTGACTTCTTCTTCTTTTTGGCAACCCCTGAGATATTGGAACACTGCTATCATGTCTCCCCTAGTCCTTCTTTTCATAAGACTAGACATATCCAGTTCCAGCAACCGTTCTTTATATGTTTTATCCTCGAGTCCCCTAATCATCTTTGTTGCTCTTCTCTTCACTCTTTCTAGTGTCTCAACATCTTTTTTATACTGTGGCGACCAAAATTAGATGCAGTATTCCAAGTGTGGCCTTACCAAGGCATTATAGAGTGGTATTAACACTTCACATGATCTTGATTCTATCCCTCTGTTTATGCAGCCTAGAACTGTATTGGCTTTTTTGGCAGCTGCAGCACACTGCTGGCTCATATTTAAGTGATTGTCCACTAGGACTCCAAGATCCCTCTCACAGCCACCACTATTGAGCAAGTACCAGATAAACTGTACTTGCACATTTTGTTTTTCTTGCCTAAATGTAAAACCTTACTTTTTTTACCATTTAAATTCATTTTGTTGGATAGCACCCAATGTTCAAGTCTGTCAAGATCCTTCTGTATCTTAAGCCTATCTTCCAGAGTGTTGGCTATTCCTGCTATCTTGGTCTGCAAATTTGATGAGTTCCCCATCTATCCCCTCATTCAAATCATTGATGAAGATGTTGAAGAGTGCTGGGCCTAAAACAGAGCCCTGGGGTACCCCACTGCATACCTCCCTCTATGTAGATGCATGGGCTTTATGGGTTTCATCCCACCAAGTTTCTGTAATGTCAACAATATCATATCTGGCCTCATTTACTTGAATTTCTAATTCACCCTGTTTATTCCTCATACTCTGTGCATTGGTGTATAGACATTTGAATCCATTTTGACTGACCCTGTGTTTACATTCTACATAACTTGTGTTGTCCCCTACTGCCTTACCACCTATTTGATTAGTGCACATGGTATGGCACTCGCTATTAAATGCTTGTTTTTGCTTGACAGCAAGGTTGATATTCATACCCGCCTTAACATCTATGTTACACGCACTGCTAACCCTATTAATTTTAGGTTGCTGGGGACAGGAATGTTCTGTATTAATTAATTCTCTGTCCCCGCTGTTCAGTTTAAATGTTTATCTAGAAAATCTGTGAATTTAATGCCAAGTAACTCAATCCCTTTCTTTGGTGGATGCAAACCATCTCTTTTGTACAGTTTTTCATTGGACCAGGTGCAGATATCATGACTAATATAATCAAAGCCTTCCCTTTTACACCATTCCTTTAGCCATATATTAAACTCCGCTATATGCTGGCCTTTTCCTTTTTGTTCCTTACATACTGGTAAAACCCTCTGAAAAGATAAGCCTATAGCCTATACTAATAAGTTCTGAGGTTGTGAGTAGGGAAGTCTGAGAGGGAATGCAGAGGACAAAGGTGGTGGCCTGCAAACCATAAAAACCCAAAACAGCAATAATACATTCATGGTAAGTTCACCAGAGATTGTGAACTTATTTTATTTCAGGATGACTGGCTTATGTCAGTGCAATACTTGTCTTGCAGCTGTCTTTTGCAGTACTCTTTTCAAATTTGGATACTGTCCTATTTGTAAACAAATTACTAGTCTACATGGATAGATTACCTACCTAGAGTCTCTAATCTCTGCTCTTAAAGCAGAAATTAGACATCCAATTCAGCCATTCTACTCTATTGAGCTGCCACGCTATCAGTCCCCTCTACCACAAAGATCCTACAGGAGAAGGGCAGTATGGACCACTGTGGGATCTGGCAGGGTGAGAGCTGTGAACCATAAACACAAAGCTTTCGCTGTGTCCCAGCATAACAGATACAGTGCCCTTGCTGACCTTAATAGGGACACTGAAATGACAGGTCAAGATTGTTGTGTTGATGATAACTCAAATAAGCAGGGGATCGTGGTCCTAGTTGAAGAACTTGCTTTGGATAGGGGAAAGTGTGAATCAGGTATTATACATCAGTCATGCAGGAAGAGCAAGGTATCCAAAAAGAGAAGCCACCTTCTGGTTGGTGATTCAATTGTAAGGGATGTAATTGTAGGAAATGATATGGAAGGTTGAAAGAGGTCAGGTGTCTGTCAGGTGCTGCTGCCAGCAGAAACAAGAGGTGTATCTTTAAAATAGACAAGAATGCCAGTAAGAAATGTGATGTTGATGTTATTAGACATCTCAGCACAAATGATCTGTCCCCAAAAGATGTACTTTCTATGCAAAATGATTTCCAGAGCTTGGGGTACGAACCCAAGTAATTGGTCATCCTCGGAGTCAATGCTAGGTATTTCAGTTCCTGGAAATCTAGTGAACAATGGTCTACAGGATCAGAATCAGAAGCTTTGTGCAAAGATCTATGTCACAGTGGAAGAATGGTTGCTAGCCAGTGGTGATAGATTGGGAAAGGTTAATAAAGAGAAGAAACTTTCAGGAAGACTCACTATCACCACTACTGTTTGTCACTGCACTGATTCCTTGTCAACAATACTGAATATCATCATCAAATATCAAAAACATCTACCAGGCTATCCTACTTCCTTTGCATGAATGATCTGAAGCTGTAGGAAAAAACACTTGAAGGTGAGAAATATGGGAACCATGCAGATCTTTGCAGAGTGCTATATCAAAAGTATGTCCAATGACAAGAAAGCCTTTCTGGGTTGAACAAATTTGCCTTGTTTACTTGATGAGACTCAGATCAAACCAATCCTGTCACAGGATTGTAGACACTGAAGCAGAGAGGCACTATCTTAAATAATAAAGGCCTTGGGCTATCTTGGTTGTTTATCTGTAGCTATTTCATTGCCTAACTAGGAAACATCATTAGTGCAAGTCAGTTTGAGTCAGTATCTCACACTGATGATATTACCTATTGAAGTAATGAAATGTCTGCAAGAAAACCTCCAAGCTGAGATAGTACCAAGGATTCCACATTCCTTTCTATTGGAACTAGACTTTATCAAGTATCATGTACTGATAAAGGTTTTTTAGCTGATAGGTGAACTCTGACTTGGAACAGAAAGAAAGCTACTATATTGTGAGGCAGCACTAGTCCAATGGCATGGTTAGATTCAACTAACATGCTATTGGACCAGATCCAATAAGTTGAATCAATTAGTTGAATTAATTAGTTGGATAAGATTATATCTGGAATACTGCATCCAGTTTTGGTTATTGCATTATAAAAAGGTGTTGAGACTTTGGCAAGAATGCAGAGAAGAGTAGCTAAAATGACTAAAAGTCTGGAGTACTAAAACATATAAAGAATGGTTGCAGGAATTGGGTGTGGCTAGTCTAGAGAAAAGAAGGACTAATGTGACATGATAGCAATGTTCCAATATTTGAGGGGCTGCTACAAAGAAGAGGGGGTCAATTTTCCAATGTATCAGAAGGTAAGACAAGAAACAATAGATGGAAACTAATCAAGGAGAGGAGCAACCTAGAACTAAGGAGGAATTTCTTAACAGTGAGAACAATTGATGGTTTGCCTTCAGAAGTTGTGGGTGCTTTATCATTGGAGGTTTTTTTTTTGTTTTTTTTTAAATTTGATTTATATACCACCCTTCTCCGGAGACTCAGGGCGGCTTACAGTGCGTTAAGCAATAGCCTTCATACTTTTGTATATTTTATACAAAGTCAGCTTATTGCCCCCACAAACTGGGTCCTCAATTTACCTACCTTAGAAAGGATGGAAGGCTGAATCAACCTTGAGCCTGGCAAGATTCGAACTTACTTTAATTGCAGACAGCTGGTGTTAAATTATAGTGCCTTGTCTGCAGAGCTATCCAGGCTCCTTCCTCATTTTAAGAAAGAGACTGGACAGCCACTTGTCTGAAATGGTATCGGGTGTCCTGTTTGAGCAGGGGAGTAGACTAGAAGACCTCCAAGGTCCCTTACAACTCTGTTGTTCCGTATTCTGTAAATTTTGATAACTACCAGTTTCTTTAAACTGTTAGACCGAGTTACCTATTCATTAAAATATATAGCTTTTTCTTAGACACTAATGATTGCAGTTAATTTTTTTTCTTGTAAATTCTAGGTTATATTTTTGTGTATGAAAGAGGATTACTTTTACTGTATTCGGTATTGGTGGTAATAAATTTACAATCACCTGAGCAAAAAAGTTGAGCAGCTTTAATACTGTATTACGAAACTCTTGATACAGTGTGGGTTCAATCTGAAAATAACTATTGTTTAGACTCAGGAGAATCATTTTAAAGATTGATAGGAAAATATTAGAGAAGATTAGTGTAGTTAAGGAAAAAATAGTCATTGTAGTTTGAGGCAAAGAATATCATGCCTCATTAACCTATCAGAATGAGGATATTTTTGCTATGCCAAGCAAAATATGTGGTATATTACACATGGATTTTTCTGACAACAGTTGATAAAGTTTCATATTTGAAGCTAATGTATATGTTTCAGAGTTATGGAATAGAGTAAATGGAATGGTGGCCTCTGGGATTAGGACTTGACGTTATTGCCAGTGAGAAAGAGCATAAGTGAAGGCATTTAAGATTGGAAAAAATAAGTAAAAGAAAAGATGTTAAAACAGAAACTGTAACTCTGGAATTTAAGAAACTTTTATTATACAGCACCATTTTGCCCATAAAACTCTTGACAGGCTTTTCCATTAGAATTCAAAAGAAGGCAAATGTTCATGACCCAGCTTGAAGGAGGAAAATACTATTAACTATAGAGATAAAGGATTTGGTTAAATTTCCTTTATCATAGAAATCTATATAGAATGCTATGTTTCATTTCAGCATGCTATTAATTTATCTAACAGTAACAATGGCAAGAACTGTACTATATGAACAGGAAGTAACACATAGAATTATATTGCAAAGATTTGACACTTGAGTATGTATATATGCATTCTTTTTTTCCCCCTGTTGGGAAGCAAAAGTGGATAAGAGGACTTTTGATTGTTCAACTCTTGGGATTTAGGAAATGTGTACCATTTCAATTTCATGTAGAAAAAATGAAAGAAGCATAATTGATTTTGATTTCATTATACAAAAAGGATCATACTGAGGATTGAAGACAAGGCATAGGGCAGATCATGTGACATACACAGTTTCATCCTTCAGCAACTGCCATTCTTTAAAACTCTCGGTAGCTGAGTTGCCTAACTCAACAACCTGAGTTGCAGAGAAGTGCCACTTTTGTCTTGATAACAAATACAATACTAATTATTCTATAGTAATTATTATTCAGAAGACATATCTCTTGCAAATATGATGTATGTTCTAAATATACTGGATACCAATTACACTGTAGATTTTTATTAGTGGAATCTGAAGACTGAAATGGCAACCAAGTTGCAATATTTAGAACATGGGAGGGAAAACAATGGCTTTTTGATGACTTGTGGACTTCAACTCCCAGAATTCCTGAGCCAGCCAGGCCTTCTGATTTTAGAACATTAAAAAAAGCTCAAAAATTCCTTAGAAATAATTAATATTCTGTGAACATTTTACAATGAAAAGGTAATAGTGAATCTTTTAAAAGCATAAACTAATCTTTCATTAAAACTGTGTTTATATATTTCCCAAAACTATTAAAATTGTCAGGAAGTGAAGAAGGAAAAGGGAGACATCTTAGGCACTGGGTTGAATAGGGACCAAAGTATAAGAAACAAAGTGATCTGTAGAAATTATATTTTCAATTTGATCTGTATGAGAGGATAATTGTTTACTGCTGAGAACATTTTCATTTAGTGTAATGATTAAAGTAGTAGACTAGAAACTGGGAGACTACAAGTGTCAGTCCCACCTTAGGCATGAAAGCCAACTAAGTGACTTTGGGCCAATCACTCTGTCTCAGCTTACAATGTTGTTTTTGTGGAGAAAATAGGAGAAGGAAGTAATATTAAGTATGTTTACTGCCTTGTGTTTTTTGTAAAAATAAGGGTTGAATAATATATAAAAAATGTGTGTTTCAGATCAGTAAGATATTTTTCCAGGAATTAAACCATTAGCAAATATCCATCGTGTGCAAACTAAAAGGTAGGTGCAATGGGACCAGTTTTCTAAAGATGAATCAAGGAAACTAGTATAAATAAAGTGTAAGTAAATGTGCCCTCAGATTACATTGAACTCCTCCTACAGGCACAATGGGCAAATCTATGCAGTTTTCTCACACTACAGAAGCAATCATGGATCATAGGATTGGAAGGGACGCTGGATATCTTCTAATCCAGCCCTTTGCCCAAGGCAGGATTCTTCACATCTTATTTGACAAATGAATTATTTAATCTTTTCTGAAAACTTCCAGCAATGGAGCACTCACAAGTTCAGGAGGTAAGTAGTTCCAATGCTTAATACCTTTCACTCTCAGGCAATTCCTCCTTCTTTCCATATTGGATGAGCTTCAACCCATTGTTTCTTGTTATATCCTCAGATGGAACAGAAAATTAATTGATGCTGTCTTCCCTGTGACAGCTCTTCAACTGGTGGAAAACTGCTATCATGTTTTCATTCAGCCTTCTTTAATTTAGTTCCATTAGCCATTCTGCCTGCCTTACAACCTATCACCGGGACACTGTAACCTACAGTATCTTTCCCTCCCATAATGCCCCAATGTTTCCTTGCAGTCCTTCGGCCTGCTTCCCACCCCACTGGGTCCCACCCCATCATCCCCACCTCTACCATGGCTTAGCCACATACTTTTCTGTAGATCTCCTCCAGGAAGCAGCAAATCAGCCATCCTACATGAGGCTGCATAGTGCCGTCCTGGATATGGGCCCCATTTCAGAGTGGTCTCAATTCATTGCAGCCATTTCCAAAATGGCACCTGCTTTCAGCATAGCACTATGGCACTATGTGGCCTCTATAATGTATAGGGGGATATATATATATATATATATATATATATATATATATATATATCTGCTCAAGACAATACATCACAGAACTCAGGATGTTACAACACAGCCAACTACCCAGGATGTTGCAGCACAGGACTCAGGATGCCACAACACTAGAGCTCAGGATGCTACCACACAACCCATTACCCAGGTCGTTACAACACAAAAGACTAATGGGCACACAGCTAGGACCTCGGCCACACAGGATGTTATGAAACAGCTGACTAATCTGCAAACATCAACTCCATCTATTAATCAAGATGTAACAACACAGCCAACCAACCTGCTTACAACAACAAAGCCAGCACTCCCCACCTCCCCACCAGTATTTATAGAGAGATGGCATCTCCGATCACGCTTTGCTCGCACAAGCATGAAGCCGAAGACACCAGCCTGAAGACGACCAGTGGGACCTCGTCGAAACGTCGCCAAGATGCTCTCAATCTTACATGGGAAAAGACGCAATACGCCAAGACTTTATAGATAGATAGATAGATAGATAGATAGATAGATAGATAGATAGATAGATAGATAGATAGATATGTATATGTATATGTATATGTATATGTATATGTATATATGTATGTATGTATATTCTGAGGTTTTCGCGGGTGTTTGTATGTAGGTCTTTGGTTATTTGGGTTTTCTCCCACATAAAATTGGAAGTGTCTTGGCGACGTTTCGACGAAGTCTCATTCATCATCTTCAGGCTGGTGTTTTCGGCTTCGTGCTTGTGCAAGCAAAGTGTGATCGGAGATGCCGTCTCTCTATAAATACTGGTGGGGAGGTGGGGAGTGCTGGCTTTGTTGTTGTAAGCAGGTTGGTTGGCTGTGTTATTACATCTTGATTAACACAGCCGACACAGCTAACCAACCTGGTTAGGTTGGTATATATATATGACCAAATATATATATATTTGGTCATATATATATATGTATAGTATAGTATAATATATTATATTTTCTAAACTATGTACAATTACCCTGACTACATATTTAATTTCAAAAAGTTAACTTTTAGCATTGGATATTAATATAAGCACTTGTCCTTGATACTATAATTATTTGCTACCTGAATTTTTGCTCTTTTCTGATTCTGACTCATTTACATAACTCTATGCATAAAAGATGATTGTTTAGAAATTACATACTTGATTCACCCCTACGTAATGTATTTCACCTTGATTTTTTTTCCTTTAAAATTTATTTAAAGGAAAGGATTTAAAACTGTATTTAAGCACATTTTCACTTACTGCTTCCCTTCTAGGTTCTCATGTTACACCCAGTCCCCAGTTCTGCAAAATAAAGGCCTTACAACTGCAAAGGTAATAGATTTATGAGGCGCTGAATGATACTGGTTGTGTAGCTTTTTACAGAAAGCCTTTTCAGAAAATGAAAAATAAAAGTTAAAGGTAGTAGTTAAACCATTAATGGTGTTGCATGATAGAAAATGATAATTATCCCTCTGTGAATAAATTAAAACAGCTGATTACTTCAATTATCTGTTCAATCTATAACACAATCTAATCAACGAGACATAAAAGAAGTATTGCTATTGAAATGTTCATTATAAGAGCAATTGTACTGAATGTCCGTATGGGTATGTGTTTCCATATGGAAATGCTCCTACAGATGATATATAAATACCAAACAAGAGTAGCATAGAAATTTCAACATTGAATATTAAATAGATCCATACAAAATACTTAAATTTTATGCCTGAATGTAAATAAGTTATACGAATCAGAATACTCTGAAAAATCTTAATGCCAGATATGAATGAGTTACGCCTCCGAAAATTGTTTGTTTGTTTACATTAGTCTTTGATCCAGAAAACTATTTTCATAACAAATGTTTAAGTTTAGTTTCTCACATTTAAAATGGCGACAGCTGTAGTTTAATTTGTTTTCTAAGCAAAATAAAGTAATAATTGTAAAAAAAAAACCAGCTAAACACTAAATTACACAGAGGATGAAAATTTCTTCGAAACTTAAAATTGAATTTCTAAGTTATATTATTTTAAACAAAGACCATCTAGTTAGCTGCTGCATTGTGCTGCAAGAAGATCACAAAAACTGACTACAAATAATGGCACAACAAAATAGCAACAATGGCGCATTGGGGAACTGGAAGAAATTACAAGAACCTGCAAATAGAAGTAGAACAACTGTGGCAAAAAGAGAGAGAAAAAGGAGTACCAACAATAATAAGTACTTTGGGTGCAATCCAAAACATCTGAACATCACTTGAACACATCACCATAGTCGAAATCACCATTGGTCAATTGCAAAAGGCAGTTTTATTTGGAATAACTTATATCCTGTGCTGATACTTTTAATATTATCAAAATCTGCCCATCCCAGGTCCTTGGGTAAAAATGTTGAATCCAGTTCTAAACGTCTGGTTGACTGTGCATTAACCCATAATATCCAAAGTACTACTGGAATTGAATATATTGTTCAATATGTAGGCGTTTTATTTTACAACTGTAATTAACTTTGTTCATGTCGACTAATGAAACTTAAGTGGAAATCTCTATGTTCTTGATTAGGAACTCTCAAAGAAATTATCCTACTTTTCTACCTAATGTGATGCAAGAAAATTTGCTTCCAAAAGATAAGAGAGGTTAGAGAAAATTTATGAGCTATTGTATGCTGTATGTTGCCCACGGGAATATTTTATAAAGTTTGTTCGTTGGTTTATTGGGTGATTCTTCTTTAAGGCAATATTTTAAATGTAGAAGTAAATGTAAAATTAAACAGGTCATAATTTTATTAAATAATCAGGGCTTTTACACATTAGCTATTAAGATGATTTGTGATGGTGAAAATTTTTCAGTTGCAATGAGAAATTCAACAATAACATCCCAAGGTGTCCCTTCAGTGTTACAATGCTCAACTAAAGCTGTATTAAAACCTCATCTGTTATCTTTATAATGATAAGCAAATAAATGCATACATAAATACTGTACATTGGACTGCCATACAATACCTACTGGTTATCCCATATTTTTGTATCTATAAATAAACTTCCTGGTCTTACCTGCTCTGGCATTTGAATGTCCTTCTCTATTTTAACTTAAATTAGTAAAGAATTTGCAATTGGTATATTTTTATTCCAAAACATTCACACATTTTTTTTCAAACTGGCAACTCTTGTGTGCCTCTAAAATCCTAATATTCCTCAGAGAAGTAAATACCTTGTATTTAATTCCTGAACAGATTATATGTTCTCATAAAAGCTTTGTATGATATTTTAAATATCAGAGATTCCCAGGAGCAAAAAGCAATAAATTGTTGTCATTTCTATTGCCCCTTTGATAATGTCCTTTCCAAGTTACACTGTCTAAATAGTTGTTGTATTCATCTATTTATCCCAGTTCATGGGATGGGGGATTAATCTGCACAGTATGTTAAAGCAAATTCCCATAAAGCTAGAGTTTCTAACATTGTGTTTCTAAACATATTTCTCTAACATAGTTTCTAACATCTTTTTTAAGATAAGACCACAGGCATCAGAAAAAATAAACTGGTGTGCTCTTTGATCTCTAGAATAATGAGTGCAGCTATCACTATCAATCCTGATTTTTTTCCCCTAACAAATTGAATAGTATAATCATTAGATTTTTATTAACATTTCAGATCTCTCCTTTTCTATAATGAGGACAGCAGCGTGCCAATAAAATTAAAAAAGCATTTATACTGAACAAAGTCTTCCCAGTGAATCTAAAACAGATGATTTCATTCTGTTCTTATATATAAATATATGCTAAGAAAATAATATTCTAGCATTTGATAACCTGTCAACAATCAAATAGTTTTTATCATATATTTTGAAGCATATATTAGAATATATATTTATAATGTATTTTATATATAAGCAATACTTTGCTTTCTCTTCTGATATTATAAAACTTTTGCTTTCACATATTACTCATTGGGAAACAAATCAAAAGAATGTTGACTTCCCCAGAGTCTTCAGATTTTTTTTTAAAATGAAGCAATTATTTTCTAGTGCATCAAACTGTAGCAGAAGAAGCAGAGTAAATGGAAGAAATAATCCATACGGAAAAAAGTATCTGCTTCTGAATCTAAAAACAGCTTGAAAATTATAGTGGAAAAGTTTATCTATGAACTAATTTATCAATATTTCTATCTAATTTAGTAATTATTATTTATTATTGCACTAGGTGAAATAATTATCTGTTCAATACAAATTTTTAAAAGACTGTGACTGTTTATGAGTCATCTGAGAAGCAAGGTACTGTATCTAGAAATGATGGAAGACTTTAAGTTAAGGATTCAAACACGAAGGACAAAGAGTTATATCAAATTCACCTACAAAAATTTACCTTGCGGCTGACTATGTATTTTCTTGTAAGCGGAGTCCAAAACTGATGCAAAAAGATACGCATAGTAAGGTCCATTAGAAAGTGAATTACATTCCAGATCTTTAAGAGTGAATTTCTGGCCCAGGAATATTGAAAGGCTGTCTAGACTTTAGTATCTTCAGTATTGACTACTATCTTATTTTTGTATAAATTTTAAAAAGTGTTTAATATACAGTATATGAATACAGGTAATCCTTGATTTACAACAGTTCATTTAGTGACCATTCAAAGTTATAACGACACTGAAAAAGTGACTTAGGATCGTTTTTCAGTTACAACCATTGCAGCATATCCATAATCATGTAATCAAAATTCAGATACTTGGCAACTGGTTCATATTTATGACTGTTGTTATGTCCCAAAGTTCAGTGATCACCTTTTGTGAATTTCTGACCAGCAAAGTCAATGTCAACTTTCCAACTAGTGAACACAAAATAAGGAAACATTCTCAAAAGCTTTGAATACCCAAAACTAAAACTTTACTGGATACACCATTTTGGTACTGAAGAAACAAAACCAGCTCTGGTTTTCCCACACAAATACTCGCCTAGTTAAACAATAGCTTCCTTTTCTCCCCACCCCTGGGTGATCACATTATGAGACATCCTTTTCTTATGGGAACAGTCCATCTCTTTCTCCAGCACCTGCAATGGTGACCTTGATGGTTGCCAAGCTCTCACAATTTCTGCATATAATCTCAGCATTGTATTTCCCCCTTCCCTCCCCACCAGTTCATTGGCAAGTTGAAAAGTATTAAGGTTTGAAAGAAGCAATGTGGTTCAATCTTGACAGTCGATGGGGAAACCAGATTCATTTAAGAACTGGGTTACTAATTTATCAATTGCAGTGATTCACTTGACAATTTTGGCAAGAAAGGTCATAAAATGGGGCAAAACTCACTTAACAAATGTCTCACTTACCAACAGAAATTTTGGGTTCCATTGTTGTTGTAAGTTGAAAAACCTGTAGTAAGTATGCATTTAAATTTATTGAAAATGTTGTTTAACTTTGCACCATGAAGAGATTGTGGTAGCTTCTGTTCACATAGGAATTTATTGAAATTTTGACCAGAGTTGATTAAACTTTAGATAAATTCTTAAAATGTATGTATCATTCAGGGGAAAGATGACAGTTTGTATTTCATAGGATTTAGAATAAGAACTTGATACTTTTTCAAGAGCTGTTTCCTTTTAAATAGTATATATTCCAATATATAGTATTATGTATACTATTTTTTTATTCCTTATTCACTCTAATTGATTTCAGATTGAATTGAATCAGGGTGATTCATACAGGCCTTTCAAAATATAAGTTCATGTTCAGAGTATGGCTCTCATCTAAATGAAATTGTTTCACACATGATATGTTTGAAAAGCTCAAGTCAAATTATTAAAAAAAAATTTAAATGATAAATAGTAAGGGGATAGTGATAAATGCTTTTATGTTAAAAGATAGAATTAGAATGATGATAATTTAAGAATGTTTGGGACTATATAACTGTTATGCAACATGTAACTTTTATGCCCCCCCCCAAAAAAAATCAAGAATGAGAATAAAGATACTGTAGATAAGCAGTTTTATTAAACAAGGATAGTAAAAAGTAAATGCCATATAAGAAAAATAATATTTAGATAAGTAGACTATTATAACTGTCATAATAAGAGCCGTGGTGGCGCAGTAGTTAGAATGCAGTATTGCAGGTTAATTCTGCTGATTGCCGGCTGCCAGCAGTTCAGCAGTTCAATTCTCACTGGCTCAAGGCTGATTCAGCCTTCCATCTGTCCAAGGTCGTTAAAATGAGGACCCAGATTGTTGGGGCAATATGTTGATTCTTAGAGAGGACTGTAAAGCACTGTGAAGCGGTATATAAGTCTAAGTGATATTGCTATAATCTGTAAAAAGGCAAAAGAGAGAAATGAAAGTAGATTAAGAAAATACTTTGCTATCAAAATTTATGGTAATATCCTAAGTCTATGTCATTTTCTGTACTGGAAAAATTCAAAAGCCTTTAAATTAGGAATTTTTGAATAACTTTAATAAGGGTGTGCAAAATATTCATAGGTAATTTAGAAAATCTATATAAGAATCACACTAATATGATT